TAGGGTTTAGGGTCAAATTTCGGAACCAGGGCTCACAGGGTTGAGAGGCAATTTTTCGGGCTGCAGGGATTAGAGGCCTCCAAGTAAGGTTTAGGGATATTAAGGCAGTGGGCAAAAAACGTGTGGTCACAGACCCCGTCCCGCCACTAGTGCACTCATTGTTCAGAGTCCCTAAATCCCTAATCCCTATTTCGACCCGAATCACTAATACCTAAAACATCCTGAATCCCTAAACCCTAAACCCTAAATCCTAAGCCCTAAACCCTTCCCCAGAGTTGCTTTTTGTCATGCTCTCAGCCCGAGCGGTATTCCGCGCACGTCGCGCGAAACATTCGCCAGTAGCTCCTCTCAGGGCGCCCTAAACAACAAAACCTAACCCCTAAACCCCTAAACCCTAAAATCCTTATGCCCCCTGAGTCCATCGGTGTCAGGGGCTTCATTAGGGGTTTAGGGGGGGGGGGGTTGAGGGGGTTAATGGCGTTTAGGGTTTAGGGTTTAGGGTTTGGGGAAATTACGGTTTAAGGTTTAGGGTATCGGGGTTGAAAGGGGCTGAAGTGAGGAAGAACTGTTGGGGCTTATCGTCATTGAAGCTTGGCCTTATGACCAGGCTTCTTGGCCTTATGACCTACTGTCAGGAGCCTTTGAGTATTTGGGGGTTGAAGCTTCGAGGGTTCGGGACGCTGCGGTTCAGACTTCAGGGTGTCAGATTGTACCGGGTTTATGTTGGTTTAGGGTTTTAGGGTTTAGGGTTTAGGGTTTAGGGTTTAGGGTTTAGGGTTTAGGGTTTAGGGCTTAGGGCTTAGGGTTTAGGGTTTTGGTTTACTCCTACGCGCAGAAATGTACAGCGCCCACCTCCTTAAACCCTAAACCCTATAAACCTAGGCTGCCCAGTAACCTAGGCTTAAAAAAGGGTGCCCTTTTTTGCTTAAAGGGGTTTATAAGGGAACCTAAACCCCCAAAAAAGGGAATAAGGGCACTACTGGGCATCCTAGAAACCCTGAGCCTTACACCAACCTAGGAATCAACAAGCTTCCTTTTTTTCATTCTGGTTTGAAGAGGTTTCTGCGGGGTCCTAACCTGAAGGGAACAGGATACACAGGGTTGGTTGTGGGTTTATGGGTGGCTCTTTACAGACTCTGAACAATATTCCTACACGTGATCCGCTTGATCCCCTGCACGGGCATAGAGAATATATCTCCGAACCCTACAGCCCAGGGGGGTGGGTAGAGATGATGCTTCGGATGCACAGTGCAAACACTGTCAAGGCCACCACCGACAAGCCCTATACACCCTAAACCCTACAACCCTAAAGCCACAGCCGCGGAAGAGTTGTTGCGCCCGACGGTGTCTCGCTCTGGTGGCAAGGGCCGAAGCTCCCGCAGCATTTCCTCAATTGCTCCTGGCAGCACAGCCTGGGAGTGCGCGCGCGCCTGCGTCTTCCACAACTGGGAATCGTTCACCGCGAAGTGAGTCCAGATCTGGTGGCTTTGCATATTCCGCCTGCAAGGAAACCGCGAGAGAAGAGTCTGCCGCTGTGGTTGGTGATGCCTCCTCCCTATCTTGAGACCAGACATGCCATGTCGCGATCCCAACTCAACCCTCCGTGCCTATGCGAGGCAAAACCTATAAACCCTAAATGGGCTTAGGCTTAAGGTTTAGGGTCTCGGTTGAACCCCAAAACCATAAAGCCCGGAAATCCTAACACCCCAAAACCCTAAAACCCACAAACCGACAACCGTACAACCGAACAACCCGAAACCCTACAACCCCTACAACCCCAACACTAAACCCTCACAACCCGTAAAACCTAAATCCTAGAACCCTAGAACCCTGAACTCTAGAACCCCAAACCCTAGAACCCTAAACCCTAGAATCCTAGAACCCCAGAATCGTAGCCCTAAACCCTAAACCCTAAACCCCAAACCCTAGAACCCTAAACCCTGGAACCCCAAGTCCTAGAACCCTAACCCTAGAACCCTGGAACCCTGGAACCCGAAACCCTAAACCCTAGAGCCCTGGAGCCCTAGATCCCTAGAACCCTACAACCCTCTAACCCTACTCCCTCTAAGCAGTCCAGTCATGGATTTCCCTACTACCCCCCTCTACACTACCTTCCCTACGTGCCTTGCAGCTCCGAGCCACGTCGACTCGTCGAACTCGCCTCTGGGTGCCCGGCATAGGGTTTAGGGTTCAGGGCCTAGGGCTTAGGGCTTAGGGTTTAGGGCTTAGGGCTTGTTTTTCGGGTTTAGGGTTTCGAGGTTGCAGGGTTGTAGGGCTTAGGGTTTAGGGGGCTGTAGGGTTGCAGGGTTGTAGGGTTCTAGGGCTTTTGGGCAACGTAGAAAAACCCCACACCAACTTAGACTAGCCGTATCTTTTAACCGTACTCACGGCCTACATACCAGTGATGTTCCCTGAGCCTCAACTGTAAGCAGTGATGTTCCCCGAGCCTCGACTGCAAGCAATCCCCACCCTAGACATCAACTTACAATAACACCGATCAGGATAAGTCCCTAAACCCTAAACCCTAAACCCTAAACACTAAACCCTGAACCCTAAACCCTAAACCCTAAACCCTGAACCCTAAACCCTAAACCCTAAACCCTAAACCCAAGGCTAGAGCTTGAACCCGGAAATCGTTAGCACCGTAACCCACCAATCTCTAAAACCTGAATTCCGAAAGCCCGGAATCTCTACCCCCTGAAACTCCAAATCCCAACAGCCCCTTGACAAACCCTTGCGTCCTTAACCGCCTGAACCCGAAATTGCACCCTGCAGCGTTAAATCCTCTACATCCCGTTGAAACAACTTTAGAACCTTTTAATCTCCTAGATCCTAGATCCTCAACTCCTAAACTGGTCCTCAACATTTGAAATCCACAAAAGTCCAACACAAAAACCTAAAACTCTATAGACCTTTCACCCTCAACTCTAAACCGTCTACTTCTTTTACTGGAGTTTAGGTTTTGGGGAGGCACTCGTCCTAAGCCTCCTACGTAACCCTAAGAAGCCCAAGACCTATGCACTTTGCAGTAGTTTACCTAAGAACTCGAACTACGGGCCTTTATACAAAGAGCCCTAAACCCGAAAGCCTGAACCCCAAACCAAAACAGTATCCTTTGGGATCTTCAGATTCACCCTCAAAACTCGCCCTAAGCCCTAACATCCTAAACCCTAAACCCTAAACCCCAAGCCCTCAACCCTAAGCCCCAAACCCAAACCCTAAACCCCAAACCCTAAACCCCAAACCCCAAACCTAAAACCCTAACCCTAAACCCCAAACCCGAACTAAACCCTAAACCCCAAATCCTAAACCCTAAACCCTAAACCAAAAACCCCAAAGCCCAAACCCTAAACCCCAAACTCCAAACCCCAAACCCTAAACCCCAAACCTTAAACCCCAAGCCCTAAATATCCCTAAACCCCAAAACCTAAACCCCAAACCCTAAACCCCAAACCCTGAACCCCAAACCTTAAACCCCAAGCCCTAAGCCCTAAACCCCAAACCCAAAACCCCAAACCCTAAACCCTAAACCCCAAACCTGCAACCCCAAGCCCTAAGCCCTAAACCCCAAACCCCCAACCCCAAACCCTAAACCCCAAACCCTAAACCCCAAACCCTAAACCCCAAACCTTAAACCCCAAGCCCTAAACCCCAAACCCCAACCCCTAAGCCCTAAACCCCAAACCCCAAACCTTTAACCCCAAGCCCTGAACCCTAAACCCCAAACCCCAAACCTTTAACCCCAAGCCCTAAACCCTAAACCCCAAACCCCAAACCCTAAACCCCAAACCCCAAACCCTAAACCCCAAAGCCTTTACCCCAAACCCTGAACCCTAGACCCTAGACCCTAGACCCTAGACCCCAAACCCCAAACCCCAAACCCCAGACCCCAAACCCTAAACCCCAAGCCTTTAACCCCAAACCCCAAACTCTAAACCCTAAACCCTAAACCCTAAACCCTAAACCCCAAACTCTAAACCCTAAACCCTAAACCCCAAACCCTAAACCCTAAACCCTAAACCCCAAGCTCCAAACCCTAAACCCTAAACCCTAAACCCCAAGCCCTAAACCCCAAACCCTAAACCCTAAACCCCAAACCCTAAACCCCAAACCCAAAACCCTAGACCCTAAACCCAAAACCCCAAACCCAAAACCCCAAACCCTAAACCCTAAAACCTAGAAATCTCGAAGCCGCAGGAGGCGCCTGGGGGAGGCGCTGCGAAGTGGAGGCTCACGCGGCAGCCCTGGCGGGTCAGAGGTGTTTAGGGTTTAGGGTTTAGGGTCTAGGGTGTAGGGTTTAGGGTTTAGGGTTTAGGGTGTAGGGTGTAGGGTTTAGGGTGTCGGATGTGGGGTTTAGGCGCAGCTTCGGGTTCAAGGGTGCTTTTCTTGCGGGCGGCCCGGGGGGGGGGGGGGTGGTGGTTGTTAGTTTTGGGCTTAGGGTTGGGTTTAGGGAGGGTCTAAGGGGTTCGGTGGGGCTTTGGGGGCGGTGTGGTTTAGGGTTTAGGGAAGGGGTCTAAGGGGGTTGTGTGGGGCTCAGGAGATGTGGGTTTAGGAGCACAAAGGCTGACTGTCGGGGAACCCGAAACCCGAAACCTAACTACGATACTTCGGAAGTAGGGCAGAAGTCAGGCTAAACTCAGCAGAACTCGCCCAGTAACCATATCATAATAAGGGAACCCGGAAACAAAAAAAGGTAAACGGTGCCACTGGGCTACCGAAAGAAGGACCAGCTTTTGAGGCAATGGCACGCAGGTTGCACTTTGGCAGAACTGCATGTCATCCGCGCTCGTTGTGGGAATGGCACGTACGCTTCAAGCCGAAGGGTTTAGGGTTTAGGGTTTGGGGTTGGGGTTTGGGGTTTGGGGTTTGGGGTTCAGGGTTTAGGGTTTGGGGTTTAGGGTTTAGTGAGATTCGTAACACCTAAGAACTAAACCCCAAACCCAACACCCTGAACCGTGAACCCTAAGCCCTAGACCCGCTAGATCCCAAAACTCTGTCAACTACAGAGTCAGAGACATCCCCACAAGAGCAGCCGCAAGGCAACGGCCATGGTTGGCAAAGCTAACCGGCTGGTTGGTGGATGAATTCTCGGGGTCGAGCTCTGCGGCCGTAGCTGTGGTCGTAGACGTGGTCGTAGACGTGGCTAGGTCGGCTCGAATCCCGTCCCCATGAATGTCATACACTTCCACGAAGGTCGGCGTAGACCTGAAGTGAAGCTCGTAGGTATAGACATCCCCGGTGGTCGACACGAAATACCCTGGGCGTAATGCCATCCATGAGGTGATGTTGTGAAGGTCGTCCAGCGACTCCTGTACTGAACTTGGACCTTCAGGAAAACATATTTTTTGCTGTTTCTTAGGAATAAAAGTGCCCAAAAAACAGAAACTATAATGTTTGCTGTTTCTTCTTCGGGAATTATAGTACCCCAAAATCAAAAATATTTCCACTACCCCCCCAAGACTCCAGTGTGTTGATGTTGACATTCTGCCTGGTGCCGATGTGTACCTCACCGAGGCTTGTCCGTATCACATCCATGTCCAAGTGGCCGCGGGTTGCCTGGTACCTCACCTGGGGTACGTTTGGGGGCCCTATAAACATCGAATTTGGTATGGCTTTATAAGGATAGGGGGTCACGGGCAATCAGCAAGAACAAAATATGTTCCAACCAACCCCTGTCGCGGCATACTCGAAGCCTTCCATCGGTTGCACTTCATAGAGATACTTTGGGCCATCGGCAAGCCCTCCCACAAACCTGCGCCGCTGTTCAGGAACTAAAAAGATACCGCCGCAATGCGGAGATTTTACCACACAAAAAAACAATCATCATGGAAATGAGGTGCTCGGATTGCTTCTGTCGCGGAATAGACACATAAGCTCTTTTACTACAAATTGTGATAACAGCAACCCAGAAACAGATAAGGATGGACGTGGGGATCGAAGCCGGTATTGCAACTGGAGGTCGCGGAAGGTTGGCGATTGTTTGCGAACTGAAACTGATAAGAGCAATAGCCTAAGTTGGCCCTTGAAACCCTTGAAACCCTAAGCCCTGAGCCCTTCTGCAAAACTTGCCGGGGTTCAGGTTTATGGATTCTTACATAATAAGATACTTTTGAAACCAGGCGAAAAATATTATCCCAAGGTCCTAGCTGGCAGCCCACGAGGCGTGTTTCAAAGTGGAGGTGAGTGAAGGATGTCTCTCCTGTCTGGCCCATGGTGCCGATCTCCGCGCCCTTGCTTACCGCATCGCCCTCCGACAACGCTGCGGTGGAATTCAAGTGCAAGTAGTAGGAGTAGTACTTGTTGATCGTCCGATCCTTCAGGGCAACGCAAAGATCCAGACTCCAAACCCTAAACTCTATAGGTAGCCCTTCGCCCCCACCCAAGCCCATGCGCGATGCCCGTTCTGATGGTGAGTGAGCTACCGGCGGCCACAGCACGTTCCTACCCAGCTTAAGGCCATCTATCCACAAGCCCGAAACACTGAACGGCACCAAGAATCATGAAACTTCGCCGTCGAGGTCAGTAGGTGCTCCAGGACCACAACGTTTCCGCCGCCAGGCATGGTGCCGGCAGCTTCCGTGTGCACCTGACTTCGCTACACGCAGAGCACTCAACCCTCAATCAATACGTAAACCATATGCCCTAAGCCTTTTAAGCCCTAAGCCCCAAGCCTTGAGCCTAAAGCTCAAAGCCCGAACCTGAAGGTGACAAGTAGAAAGGGCTCGAGGTTCATGGTCTGGGTGTTCTTGGAGGGAGGGGTTCAGGGGCGTCTTGGAGCTGAAGTGTGGCACGTGCTCCAAATCAGAACAGAATGGGCTTAGGGTTTAGGGTTTCAGGTTCAAGCTTCAGGGTTTTATGGGGGGGGCTAATAGTGTTGGGTCTTCAAAGATGTGAGACCCATCGACCAAGGCACTTGGAACACCGTGCCGTCCTGGCAGGCGTAGATGGGCGCCCCGATTTCATCCTCGGAGAGATGGCGAATCCTAAACCTTTATCGCGATGACTGCAAGGCCCTAGAACCATCCCTCAGACCTTAAAGAGACGCCCCAAACCCTAAACCCTAAACCCTAAACCCTAAACCCTAAACCTGATCAGGGCCAAAAGACAAAGTAGTCGATGCCCCGGTGGTAGTCATCGCGCGACTGCGATGCTTTCCAGCGCGGGCCAAAGCTGGATGAGATCTGCAGAGGTTTCGCCACAGGCGGAACCTGAGAATGCGTGTTGAGGGTTTAGGGTTTAGGGTTTAGGGCCCTACTGGTACAAGGACCAATCTCAGATTCAAACTCTAAACTAAAGCGAAAACATTCTTTGAGCTGAGCTTATCAGCGGTCGCGGCTCGCTCAGCGTGGCATCTTCACCCAGCGTCAGGTCTTTGTGTTTGCTAAGTTTTCCATAAGTAAGTAAGAATCATGTTCTGGCCGCTCTTCCTCTTGGATATTCTAGTTGGCATCACGTCCGTTTCTTTTGAACAAATTTAATATTCAAGCACCAAAAGCAAAACAGTTTCGGCAATACAAAGAAGGCTTCTTGTTGTTACGCTGCTCAAACATGAAAGTATCACAAAGCAACAGCAGCGAAGCGCAAACTTTTTCTTCCCGCATTCTCGCGCATCTGCTTCTCTTCCGCATGTTCGATTTAAAAGTAACAAGATCAGGGACCAGCAGTATGGACTAACAGCACCAAAATATACAGGAAACAGATTGGGATTTCATAGCCACCTTCGCCTTCAGCATGTTCTTGGGCCAAGCAGTTGGTGAATAGTCTTTGTGACGTCAACTACGATCTGAAATATCTCAATACTACAAACCAGAATCACTCGCAAAACATTTTAGTACAACACGACAGGCAATCCCTTCTGGCCCTCCTTCAGCACAAGAACTATCGTCCTGAGAAATACGGGTGAATATTAAACAGCAGTTGAAACCCATTTACACCAACAAACGAGTTCTCTTCGGTTTTCGATGCCACTTCCCACACCTCGCAGAGAAATATCACAAAAGAGACTATTTAAGGAGGCAAAGCTGAGTCCAGCACGTGGCCATCAAGGGAGGTCCATGTCTTCACAATACAATAGTTTCTAAAACTGGATTTAAGGACCTAGACCAACCTGAGCTTGAAAATAAACAGCCAACATCTGCACAGCTGGTACGGCAAAGGATTCTTGGACCTAAAAACTTACTAGTTGCTGCATTTGCTTAAGACCCACAAAAACAAAAATTCTCCCCTTACTACCCTATCATAGGGAAGAATATCTGTATTTTGGCGGGGTTCTTATGCAAACAGTACCCTATATTCCCTTAAAGAGTATGTATAGGGCCCTGACTCCCGCATTCCCTGCTAACCAACAGTAGAGAGAAACAGTAGAAACCTGTTGAGTTCCATCGATCGACTCCGCTCCAACGTACCAAGGCCCGAAACGTTTAGGGTTTACGGTTTAGGGTACTTATAACCTTGGGGACCACATGAACCCTAAAAGGGTTTAAAAGTTTATGGTTCATATACCTTAATAGGGATTATGGCAGCGCCCCAGCGGCGCGCGGAAAAAACCGAGCACTGCCGAGAAAATCGCATGTCTGGAGACTTTTAGGGTCCTTAGGGTTTAGGGTTTAGGGTCTTTAAGAGACTTTTTAAAGGTCTTTTGGATTTTTTCAAGAGTCTTTTCAAAGGTGTTTAGGGCATTTAAGCACCTTGCTAGAGGTCTTTAGGGCATTTAAGAATTTGTTTTAAGAGGTCTCTAGGGTTGTTTAGAGTCTTTTTCAGAGTCTTGAGGGTTTTCAAGAGTCCTTTAAAAGTCTCTTTAAGAGTTTTAAGAGTCTTTTTTAAATCTTTTCAAGAGCGTTCATGGTGTTTTAGGGTCCTTAGGGTTTCTAGGGCTTCAGGCTTTGAAGTTTAGGGTTTTTGTTCGGGGTTTGTAGGGTGCCGCAGCCCTAAACCCCCAACCGCTCTTAAGCTGGGCAGCTGTGTCAGCGCCATCGAAGCTCGGAATGTCGGGAACCTGCGCATATAGGGTTTAGATTTTGGGGTTTCGGATTGAAGGACTCGACGACCGTACGCTCTATGGGCATAACCCTTAGATGCCGAAATTCAACGGAGGCCTAAACGTTCAACACAACTCCCTGGACCCAAAACCCCAAGTCTAGTTTTTTGGGGCGGAGGGTGGGGCGTGGGGGGGGGGGGGGGGAGGGCAATGGGTGGCCAAACCTCATTCGGGGGAAGGGAAGGAGGGGGGCGAAGGGGGGGGAAAAGGGGGGGGGGAGGGGTGGGGGGGAAGGGGGCAAAATAAGAGGGGCCCCCACAAAAGGGACCCGCAACCAGGACTCAATCCTAAACAATGGTACCTTCTGGGGTTAAAACACCACCAAAACCCTAAATCCACAAAGACCAGAATTCTCACGAGCTGCATGCACACTTTAAGTTGGTGGGTTCTCAGTATAACAACTTTTTGTAGAGGTCTTAAGTTTACGTAGCCTACAAAATTAGGCTCGAGGCTGGTGCCCTTAAAGGCGGGATTCAGGATTTAGGGCTTATTTTTTATGGACTCGCTCCCTTTTCTGCAAGCGTAGCGGTGAACCGTCTTCCGGATTAGTGCAACTACGTAAAGTGCTCGCTGCACTGTCTCCGGTACTCCCCTCAGGGTTTAGGGTTTGGGGCTTAGGCAGGGCGCGGTTCCATAAACCCTAAACCCCAAACCCTAAACCTTAACCCCTAACCCTTAACCCCTACACCCTAAACCCTAAACCCGAAACATTTATCCCTAAGCGCTAACCCCTAATTCAGCCCCAAAACCCCAAAACACCCAAAACCCTAAACCTCTTAACCCCAAAGCCTAAACCCTTGTCGTTGACAATGCACGCAAGCAAGAACCTCTCAACCTCTTAGGGCCAAACCCTAAACCCCTAAATCCCAAACCCTTCGGCCTGAGTCACAGCAACGGTGCTGAGGTTCTGAAGGATCTCTGACTCTGCGGGTCTTCCGGCTGCCCTTAGAAAGGCAGAACAAGGTTTAGGGTTTAGGGTTTAGGGTTTAGGGTTTAGGGTTTAGGGTTTAGGGTTTAGGGTTTAGGGTTTCGGGTTTAGGGGTTAGGGTTTAGAGGTTAAGGTTTAGGGTTTCATTAGGGTTTACAGTTTGGAACTTAGGGTTTAGGGTTCAGAATTCAGGGTTTAGGGTTTGAGGTCGATAGGGTTTAGGGTTTAGGGTGTGGGGTCTGTAGGGTTTCTAGGGCTTGCACGGCTTATCGGCTTATAGGGATTGCAGGGCTGATAGCGTTTATAGGGCTTTAAACCCTAAACCCTGTTAGGGTTTAGGATTTGGGGATAAATTTAATGTTTAGGATGGGGGAGTTGGGGCTTAGGGATTAGGATTGGGGGGTGGGTGCTTAAGGATTGTTAAACGTGGTCGCTCACCAACCAGACCTTATCGTTCCACCACAAAGGACCCATGATCTCATGATCTGCCAAACTAAACCCAGAAACCCTAAACCCCAAACCACAAACCCTAAACCCTAAACCCTAAACCCTAAAACCTAAACCCTATACCCTAAACCCTAAACCCTAGACCCCTAAACCCTAAACCCCAAACACTAAAGCCTCCATCCGAGGTGCAGAAGACATGGCAGAACCGCGGTGGCCAGCAGCCGATGCATCGCGAAAGCAGGCCAGCACCCCCGCCCTAAACCCTAAACCCTAAACCCTAAACCCTATACCCTAAACCCTAAACCCTAAACACTAAACCCTAAACCCTGAACCCTACGACTTCTCTGAGCGCTTGGGGCTCCGACTCTACTTAGCACCGCTGTCTTCTCAACAGCTACGGGGTTGAAAGCACCCCCACTCCTTAAACCCCCAAACCCTAAGCCGCTCTAAGTAGGGTTTAGGGTTTGAAGATAAGGCTTCGGGAGCTCTAAGAGCCCCTTTATGGTTTAGGGTTTAGGGTGTAGGGTTTAGGGTTTAGGGTTTAGGCTTTATGGCCGTAAAGCTGCCCTAAGTACCCTAAGAACCCAAAGCTGCGCGAAGAAGCTGGTCGACTTGGATCTGCGTGCGATAGAATGCCAGAACGGCTGGCAAGGATGGGTGTAGGGTGTAGGGTGTAGGGTGTCGGGTGTCGGGTGTCGGGTGTCGGGTTTAGGGCTTTGGGCTTAGGGTTCAGGGTTCAGGGCCGAGGGTTTATCAGGGTAAAACGGGCTTAGGCTGGAAAACATAGGGTCGAACCTCGGGTTGAAGATTGGGGAATTTGAGTTTAGGGTTGACCGTCATTTGCAGGCCTCTACTATGGCAGACATGCTCGAAACTGTAACGGAAAGGAGCGAACCTATACCGGACCTGCAATGGAGTTACCACAGAGCTGTTGCGGAAGCTGTAACGGGCCTGAAACGGACCGGAACCCAAGTTTATGGCTTAGGGCTTGGGATGTTCCCCATGACTAACAGTCCTTAGACCCTGAACCCTAAACCCCAAACCCAAAACTCTTGTGAAGACCATCATCCTGGAACCCAGCCTAGGACTCTAGGACTTCGGGCTTTAGACTCAACATCGGAACCGTGAGGGTTTTGGGTCTAGGGCATGA